TTTTTTTTGCCAGTCCTGGGGCTTGAACTTTGGGCACTGTCCCTGAGCTTCTCTTGCTCAAGGCTAGCACTCTACCACTTGAACCACAGCACCACTTCCAGCTTTTTCTGTTTATTTGGTACGGAGGAATAAAACCCAGGGTGTCATGCATGCTAGGCAAGCACTCTACTAATGAACCACATTCCCAGCCAACTATCTCCATTTTTATACCCTTTGATTTGTGTAAGCAGTATATATGTACATGTACTATCTCATTAAGCTTTAAATTACAGTGATAAATTACAAACATATACAGGTCTGACAGGAACAACAACAAAAAAACAAGAACTTTCATGAAGCATGATTAAGCAAATAAAAGGAATTGGGATATCAAGGCTAGCCTCTGTCCAAGCCTTGTCAGAAACTCTGTTAAGATCAGCCCACTACTGATCTGCCTAATCAGTTCCTGTCTCTGTAAAAGGAAATCACAGATGATACACAGTAAAGGATTGACATATTGGGAGATTGGCATGGCTGTCAATGTAATACTTGAGAGAAATAAAACTTAATAAGGGGCATTATTTATGTTGCTCATGGTTGCAGAGATTTGGGTTTGTTTTTTGTTTTTTATAGTAGGGAGAGCAAAGGAGGAATAGCTCCCATCATGACAGCCAGAAGCAGAACAGAATCAGGACTGGCCAGGGCAAACTACACCCTTCAAACACATGTCTCCAGTGATGGCTTTCTTACCTCCTAGTTTCTACCACCTCCCTTCAAATCTAGAATCTATGTGGAATAAGCTGCAGATGTGGTCAGAGCCCTCATGAGCTAACCCTCTCTGGTAACAACATCAGACTCATCAGGAGGTTTGCTTTACAAATCCTATAGGCATCTCTCAATACAATCAAGTTGACAAGATGAACTACCTGCGGGTGTTTTTTTCATTCTTTGTTCATCTTTTGATTTTGAGACAAGAATGTAGCAAGACTAGCAAAGACAAGATTGAGACAAGAAGTAGAAAGCTGGTTTCAAACTTCAAATCCTCATGCTTTGATGCCCAAGTGCCAGGATTACAAGTGTGCACTACCATGTTTTTCTTTAAAAAAATTGTTAAAATTGTTTTTGGTGTTTTTCCTTAAGCTCTTATTAGTCATAATGGAAGTTAATAATATGAACAGAAGACAAAGGAAACTTAATTCTGAACCATCTATATAAACTCCTGCTGTAACCTGAGAGAAATTACTTAAAGGAGAGATCTCGGACTTATTTTGGCACCTGGTATCAGAGGTTTCAGTCCATCATGGAGCCAAAGTGGGTAAGAGTAGCTCATATCATGGCAGCCAGGAAGCGCAGTGAGAGAATGTTTATGCACTCTTCCCCTTTTTATTCCTTCTGGGCTCCCAGCCTAATGGGTGGTACCACCCATATTCAGGCAGGTTTCCCTCCTTTAGTTAATGATCTCTGGAATGCCTTCATAGACACACCCAGCAGTATGTTTTACTAATCTCCAAGGTACTTCTCAATACAATCAAGTTGACAGCTATGATTGTCACACTGGATTATCCACAAGGAGACTGGGCAGGCACTGGCTGACTCCAGATGAATGAGAAACATTTCACCCTAAGTAGCTCCTATGCAACAATCTAAATGCCCTTCGAAGACCCAATGTGCTAAGGTTTCCCTTCAGTGATGGTTTTCTGATTCCCCTCACAAAAGCTGATCTGGTACAAGCAGCACTCAAGGGAGGACTCCTCTCAGTAGCACTGTAGCACCATAGGCTATTTATGAATACTTATTAATAGCAGCACAAGGTGCTTTTAATCAACACTATTAGAAACTGCTTCTTCACACTGAACTAAAGACTATTTCTCCAACAGTATCTTCAAGATCTGCCTTTGAAGCCACAAAGAACTAGCTGGTTCTTTCTCCCGGGAAATGCAAGTAGTTGAAAACTATTATTTCTACTTTTCAATTTACCTGCTAGGTTGAACTTCCTAACTTGCATGCATCTCTGCAGATAAGCAATTTCAAGGTCATCACCATGTTGTTCTGGCTCCTCCAGACTCTTCAAGACTTGGCCAGAATCCACTTAAAATATGACACCTAAAATGGCAGCATTCCAGCTGTGACTGATCTTATCACAGTGGAGTCCTGAAGACTTACTTTTCTTCACCTGGACCACATTCTTACCATTGCATTCTTCAAAGGCTTTTGGGCTCCCTCCTGGTTGTTCTCCTCAGGTTTGCTGTATTTTTCAAATTTGGTTAAGTAAACCCGCCAAGTCATTTTTCTTGAGTACCATTAACCAGTTACCTTTCACCTCCTTTTACCATGTTTTAAATTGTGTACATTAAAGGCTGACCTGGAATTTACAGTTCTCCTGCCTCAGCCTCCCAAGTGCTGAAGTTAATAACATGTGCCACCACACTTGGCTCTAACTGCACGCTTGTTTCAGCACTGAGATGATTTTAAATATTAGTAACAGCATCGTTTGTGATCATTCCAGTTAGATAACATGAAACTTCTAGTGTTTTCAGCCAAAGGACATAAAATTCCCTCAGTTTAATATGAAGCATTATTCAATTCTTCTTAACCAGCAGCTAGGAATCCACTGGGCTGTTAGCCATGATGTCCAGTGCCCTGTTGAATTTAATGAATATTTTCTTTAAGCCATTCTTTGGCATGACTTGATGATTTCAAGTGCTATATTTTATCATGGGAGTAAAACTTAAGGCCAGCCCCTGGTCTTTAGAAATAAGCAGCTAAAATAGTTTCTAAGAACAGAACAACAGAACCAAACACACAGGCACCTCTTTCCTCTACTGCATATTCCTTTATCTTCTGAGGAAACGAAACTGCCAGGTGAAGTTAACTACATAAAAGTTCAATATGCCAGACACTGCTGGCTTATACCTGTTCATCCTAGCTACTCATGAGGCTGAGATCTGGAGATCATGGTTTGAAGCCAGCCCAGGCACCATGGTTTCCAGTGTTAACAAGTTGACTGAAAACTGAATTTTGGAGTTTTTCAATGACAATGAAATTTTATGTCTTTTCTGCACTTGTTTTCACTAAACATTTATAAGAGACAGTATAATTAATTTCAAAGAACTATCCAATTTCTAATGGAAGTCACATAAGTGTAATAATTGTATCTAGAGATGAATGCAGCTTTAACCATTACTATTCAGATGAATCTGGTAACATTCTTTTCAGTTAACCAGACCCAATTTGAAGGATTACATTGTCTACTGAGTATTTCTGATCCTCCTGAATTTGTAAATGGAAGCTGTGACCCACACTGTAATGGTATTAGGAGGTGGGGCCTTTGAGGGAGGCAATTAGGTTGAATAAAGTTACCAGGGAAGAGCACAGGATAGGATTCATGTCTTTATATAAGGGACACTATAGGGCTTGTTTCCCATGGTTGGGTGGCAGCAAGCCAGGAAGGGAGCCCTCACAAGGACTAAGTTTACCAGCACTTTAGAGTAGGGGCCTTCTTAGCTTCCAGATTAAGAAATATAAGGTGTGGATGTGAGTGTGTGTCTGTGTGTATAACAGTCTGGTGTCAAACCTGTGATTCTCTTGGTCTCAGCTTCCCTAGTACTGGGATCACAGGTGTGAATCACCATCTGTTTTTGAAACCAGGATAGTTACACTTAGTTATAACAGTCCAAACTAAAGTAATAATGTAATTACCTTGCTCAACTTGTGTATGACAGAAAAAGAAGAAAAGAAGTTATATGCAAACCAAACCAGATGATCCGGTGGGGGCATCCACAGGCTGATCCTGACCAAAAGGCAAAATGGCAAAGGAGAAAATTAAACCATTCCCTACAAGTTAAGACATTTAGAAGTATCCTTTAAGAGCTTTTCTCAATTTGGCCTCCACATAATGCAGGGTGTTGTTACAGAGAGACGATCTTCTGAAAGATCTTCATCTTTTGTCCTCTTGGCTTTAGAAAGGCAGGAATCTGGTGAAAATAGCTCAGGTAGTAACCCTTTAAGAAAATTCTAGGTATCTAGGTAACATGCAATGTTTGTATTAGAGGGAAAAGACATTCCAGGTGGCATAACAGCAAAAATTTTTTTTCTTCTTAAAAACCTTCAGATTGGTATGTTTGAAGAACTTGCCTGAAAAGAGCTTGAAGCAGGGCTAAGTCTCTTGGATCAATCACCAAAGAGACTTTGCATGGCTCAGCCAATGAATCTGAAGTGTTAAATTTGCCTAATTACAATTTTCATTTTTATCCTCTGTCGAGAATACCTTGGTGAGGTGTCATACTCTGGTGGGCAGGTAGGGGGGAGGGCTCAGGTCAGTGGTTGGTCACCTTTTATGAAGGTTTTGAAAAGCAAGTCCTTCCTTTTGAATTATGCAAGAGAATTTAATTTTGCTATGATTCTTTGGTAGATTTTAAATATTAAAGATAGACCTTAAAAAAAGATACCACTATGCTTTTGCTATGTTATAAATTTGTTTTGACATAAAAGCATGAAAGAAAATTGAGCTCATTCTTGTGGATAATATGTAACTTTATTGTGTGCATCTCTTCCACACCAAGGATCAGCTTTCCAAGGATCAGCTTTTGCATGTGAAATAAGATTTCAGTTAAAGTTCTTACCAAGGACACATATTGGGCACTGGAAAAAGCTGAAGAGAATTTTTTGCCTGAAAGTGGAAAACAAAAGAATCTGGGGTGGAGAAAGGTATGAGAAAACGTACAGAGGTTGCTAAGACTACCACAAAAACAGCTCAGAACACTCGCCTAGCATGTGAGGAACCTGGGGGTTTGAGCCCTAGCACTGGGGAGAAAAAAACCCTTCCAGTCATAGAGCTCTTGATATGCCCTGCTATTTGTAATTCAATTATGTAACATAATTAGGGGAAAAAATGAACACAAAGTCCATTTGGACTAGAGAAGAAAAAGTTCTGAGAGACCGTGCAATTCTAGGGACTGCTGCCCCTAACCAGCACTCATTGCTCAGGTATGTACTGGGAAACAGCTGGAAGACCATTTCAGTTTTCATTATCCTGTCTTGGTTTCCTTATTGAGTAGAATACTAGGAGAAACAAAAGTACTGTGAGTTTACAGGTCTGCTGTTGAATTGGAATTTAGGACCACAGTAAAGAGAGGTAAAGAGAGATCCAAAGGTTCACTGAAAGTAAAACCACACAATAACAGGCTATGGGAAGAGCTGCTCTGGGCTGAGGGCAGTATTTGTGTAACAGTTCTGAGCAGAGTCCTGAGCACTCAGAGTCACCCCTCTTCTGGACACTGCTTCTTAGCTTTCTTCCCATGACACTGAGTAGTCACAATGACGTTTCCCTGCTACTCTGAAGGAGGTGTTACCATGGGAGGCAAATCACTACACCTTAGAAACAAAAAGATGCCTGGCCTTCTTTAGCATACTGGCTGGCAACTATTCTAAGAGACTGATCATCTTGTGTGCTGAGGTGCATTGAGCCTCTCATATAAGATACAAGCAGTTGCAATATATATTAGGCCAGTTTTCAGCCAGAACTAAAAAAGTTTCTGATATTCAAACTGAGTAATAGAAAAAAACCCCAACCCAGGTGGAAGAACTAATTGAAGTTGGCCTGATTATGAAGATAAACATGTTACTGAGGCACATTCTTCTAGCCTTGAGGTATGCAGGCAAAGGTGAGGTCATACCTGACTGAGAGAGAGGGTCAGGCTGATGTAGGGTTCCAAGGAAATGTTTTCCAGAGGCACGTGATAATTCACTTATCAGTCCCAAGGACAAAACTTCCAAGATATAACAAAGATCAAATTATATCATGTATATGATCCAATTAAAAAATTCTTAGCCCTCTTACACTGTATTCTCTAGATTACAATAATAAAAAATCAAATTACATTTATATGAAACTTTTATCAAAAGAAATCAAATCCATTTTTATGAAATTGTATAGTACAACTATTTTCCAGTGGGTATTTTCTTCGGTCACGGTATTTATAATTTCATTTACATTTGTATTAATTTTTAAATTAGAAAACAAAAGCAAGTCTAGGTTTTTATTTGCAAATCTCCCTTCAGTTTCCAGGCTGGTACCACATGGTGCTGTTGGTTGTCCTCCAGACATGCGCTGCTATCAAAGATCCCCAGTTTCCGGAGCATGCAGGCCTCGACTCATTAGGAATGCTTTTTGGTTTGGCTCACGTTTCAAGAAATTCTGGAGCATATCCATGCCGTCCAGAGATCCCCCAGGTTTCAGGATTAGATTTCTGTATTTCATTCCAACCTAATAAAACAAAACATCGTGCCTAATAATTCATGGTCACAGCAATTCTCCAGATCTTTAGACACAAAAGAGAAAGGGGCGAGAGAAACAAAGGGGACTTGAGCCTTGCTCTGGTTAGATGCTCTCTTCAGCTATGGCTATGCAGAAGTCATCTTGGTGGCTAAAACACTTGGAACTAAAACTTCAAGTTTTCTACATTGTCTTTTATTGCTCTCTCCTTAGATTCTCATGGGTGAGCCGACAAGCAGGCAAACCACACAAAGCACAAAGGCATATATGACATGTTCTACCAGTTATCCCATTTCAAAGGCGCTTTCAATAGGTTTAGCCATGCAAGTGTTCCAGAAAGTTACAGATGGGTTCTGGGAGCCTAGAAATAGGACCACAACTGTCAGGAGGCTTTGGCTGTTTTTGTGAGAGGCCCCCAGAAAACCACCCCAACAAAATCAACCCTAGTCTCTCCCTCACTGCAGGCTAAGGCCCTTCTGAAGGGTCTGCACAGGGAATGAGAATCTTTGTGGCTTTATCTAAGGATAGAGGCCTGGAATTTTAAGACATACCACAGTTGTCTTGCCTTTATTTATGTCAACACAGGAGCAGATAAACTGAAAGAAAACAGCTGGAACTCTGTATTAGTATTATGAGATATTTTCAGTTCCCTTTCAGAGTTTCCTTTAGGGAAACAAGGCAAGACAGTCAAATGAATGAAGATTCTAAACAGTTCACAGTGGATCCCTGAAGTTTACATGCACATGATGTGACCAAACTCATTATCTTTACAGACAAGAAAAACTATGCATTGCCAGAGACAAAGCAATCTAACCTATGACTTAATACAAGATTCTGCTTGGTGCAACAGTCAGAGATAAATTAAACTTTTAAGGAGAAATCAGACAAGTTGGATGTAAAATGATTTAATGTCCCACAGGGCCATGAAACTAAAACTTAACAATCATCTATAGGCTGACATCTAAAGTCAGTCTGAAAGTTTGTTAGGAGTAAGTAGCCAAACAAAGTTACATTCTGATACAATTCTTAATACTGTCCAACAGAAATATGAGGTACATGCGTAACTTCAAATAGTGTATTAATCACATTTTAATTATCATTAGTTTCTATGACTGTCTTGGGGGTTGAACTCAGGGCCTGGGCATTGTTCCTGAGCTTTTTTTCACTCAAGGCTACCATTCTACTGATTGAACCACAACTCTATTCTGGCTTTTTGGTGGTTAAATGGAGATGAGTTTCACTGACTTTCCTGCCTGAGCTAGCTTTGAACCAAGATCCTCAAATCTCAGCCTTCTAACTAGTGAGGATTACAGGCATAAACCTGTAAATTAAAATTAATTTTAATGAAAGATTTTACTGAAACTCCTTTAAGATGGACATGGTGGCATAAACCATTGTCCCAGCTACTTGGGAGGCTGAGGTGCAAGGACCACTTGAACCTCCAAGTTGGACACAGCCTAGGCAATATAGAGAGATCCCTAGCCTCTTCCCTGAAATCAGGTGTCATCATTTCCAAATAGAAATTGTTTACTAAGTCCTTAACCCCCATTCAGTTGTTGCATCAGCTTTATTTCATATGGCCTTCCAACTAGTCAGGTCTTGGGCCTGCAGTACAGCTTGTAGGTGGTTCTAGTATTTCACTAAAAGGGCACATGGTGATCTTATTGCCTTATTTATAAGTTTCTTAGGAGAAGGTCTGTAATCACTGATAATGGACTTCCTGAATCTCTGGTGATAAGGATTAGGAACTAGCTTTAGTTTGTTTTAGGAAAAATGCCAAAAAAAAAAAAAGATACCTCATTTCTTGTATCATCTGCAGCAATATTACTGTCAACCTAGATTCTAAAATAGAAGTATAGTGCCTTGTCATAAACTTTGTTATTGTAAGCAGGAGTCCATCAGAGCTCTAGTCCAACCACACTTTACCTCCTCCTTCCCTTTCTCTCATTGCTCAGTGTGTCTAAATATGACTAATGTTTCCAATTAGTGGTACAGCTCTCTGGGTATAAGTTATATAGAAGTTAAATTTACCTGCAAAATTACAAAAGTGTTTTAAACCTTTTATGAAGGAAAACTTAAAATATGTACTAGTAGAACATATAACAGGTAAACTCTCATAGACTCATTCAACCTCAATAATTATATATTATTCTCAACAATATATAAATTCTGATCTTCTTGTCTTAGCCTCCTAAATAGTGGTATTACAGGCTACACTCAGCAATAATTAATACTTAGCTGCAGAAATTCTTCATGTTCAACCTTTGCATATTTTATTCCTTTTATCTATTACAAAGGTATTATTCAATTCACAAATATTACAGAAATAGGAATGCAAATCAAAACTGAAGACCCCCAAATGATGAACATCTGACAAAGTATTCTCATTTTGTGCGGAGAACTGTAAGTAAGTTTGGGTGGTAAAACAAAGCAGGCATTGAGGGACTCCATGGTACGGTGAAAGACTGTGCCCGCCTCCTCTGCCTGGCAGAGTCATTTCAGAGCATGGCACTGTTTAGTCTCTTTACAGTCTTAGCAGTCCTTCCTCTGCTTCTGCTTCCAAACAAGTTGATTCAATTTCCTGAATTATACAGCAATGGTCTTTTAATAGTTTCATTTCCTTTGCAATGAAGTTTTGAGAAGAGTTTAAGAGTCATTTTGGTAACAGGATCTTACTTTTGTTAAGGGGAAAAAAAGGAGTGAAAGTGACTGTGTTTTTGGAAAGTATCGGGCCCTCAGGGTGAGATGTCTGAGAGACACCTGACACAGGTGTACCAAGTGTTTACCTTTAGTTGTTACACCTTACCTTCACAAAAAAGAAATGTTAATGTCAAGGAAGGTAGGAAGAAGAACTCTACAACTGTAGTATTTTCGTGTCACCAATACCCTTTGGGAGGATCTGCCCACAAGAGCTCATATTAGCCTCCCATGAAGGACAATCTATGCCAGTTACCTCTGTGGTTTTGAATCTTAAAAGATTAGCATAAATCTGCTGGCAATTGTGCAAGGCTTCTCTAACACTGAGCCATGCCTCCAGTCTAGCTTTTTGCTGTTTATTTTTAGAAGCAGTGTCTTCTCAAACTTTTCTGCCTGAACTTTGCTTCAAACTACAGTCCTACAGATCTGAGTCTCCTAAGTAGCTAGAATTATAGGTATGCATGTGTTTGGCATCTAAAAAGCTCAATAGCCTGCTTAAACATTGATTTTGAAAGTTTTCCTTCCATGCCATTTTGCCCTCCTAGCAGAACACAGTTGGTTTTCCATAAGGGAGAAGAGATCATGGGTGGAAGAAAAGCAAAATCTTTGACAACAAAAGAGGGAGAGAGCAAAAGACTGGTGCTGGTAGACAAGCAGAGCAGGGATGACTGTGGTCAGAGTAGACACCTCCTGGAAGCATTAAACAAAATTTGTGAAGGTAGAAAGATAAACCTTTAATTTTGGGGAGGGAGAGGAGGAGAAAAAGGTTCCTTGGGTAGCAGTTTAGATTAGGTGGAAAGAGCAGTGGACTCAATGGGAAAAACTACCAGTTAAGTTCAAAGAGGTACACATACGTAAAATAATAATTAAATTAAACAGTTTTGAAGTAGAGGACACAAAGGCAACCAAAACAGTTCCTTTTATTAGGGTTTTATGACCTACAAGGGAAGCTTAAAGAATACATAATTAGGTGACAGATGTGGTAGTAAAGGTCTGTAATCTCAGCACCTGAGAGCAGAAGGATCACAAGTGTGAGGCCAGCCTACACTATGAAGTGAGAGCTGTCTAAAAATGCAGCAAAACAAAAATTTAGTGACACATTAGACAGGAACTGGGCCTAGGATTCTGCTTAAAGAGCACTGGTTCCTTTTGCCTTTGCATTATAATTGAGCCGTGCAATTCTTCATGTTACTTAATGTAAGCTCCAGCCTCTTCCTTATGGCATGACAGGCTAAAATATAACAGTGATAGCAAACTATTTCTTCTGAAGTGACACTTGGTTGTACTTCTCATTCATGGAGGAAAGAAACAAAGCTTAGCCATTTATCTAAGTGCAAAAGAGGAAGGTAATTCTGGCTTAACAATGTAATTGCCTTTGAGTCCACAGGTCTATTACCTCTTAGGAAATTTTCCCACAATGAAGTTGCCTTATTAAAAAAAAAAATGGCCCTAGTTAAAGTGCTTCCATCTTTTCAACCCTGTGATTAGCTACTGGATTTTGCAATGACATTTGGTGACCTTACAGATATCCTTAATGAGCACCCAGAGCTTGCTGGAAAAGCCTGACTCCCAGCAGGCCTTCCATCACCCTTGAGATGTAGGAGTTACATATAATAACTTGTTATTATACACTTTCTCCATGCCGTACTACAACAAAGGCTTTAGTAACATGTAATGAATTCAGCAAGGGGTTAAATGTGATATCTACTTACAAGAGAATTTTTTTTTTTAAATTTACACATGGATCACAGATAACAAGGTTTTGGTCTTTGTGAGCTTTTGGATCTAGATCACCAAGGAGAATGAAAAGAACTACCATAAAATATTCTATTGCCACCATTTGGGATTCAGAAGGCCCCAGCTTTATAGCTGTCCCTCTTATGTTTTTAAAGTGAGCAAGCAGCACACATTCTACAGTTCTGCTTGTCAGGATCTGAAATGGTTCTCAGAGAAGAGCCCTGGGCTTTGTAGAACAGCAAGAAGTTGCAAGAGAAGGCCTGGGGGCTCCCGTCTGTACTATGAAACCAGTTATGTCCACAGCATGTGATCTCCTGGCCCTCTAGCACTCGGGTGCTTGGGGACAAACAAGCACTGACTTCTGGAAAAGCCATCCTGCTATCTTCTCAAAACCACCCAAACACACCTCAGGGAGAGGAAGGTCTTGAGATAGTAGTCTGTGTGAGAGACAGTCATGGCTCTGATTCCCATGACTGCAGCCCAAAGCAAGCATTACTTTATGCCACAGAAATTCACAGAACCTAAAGCAAATCTACAACTCTTGAACACTCAAGGTA